TGCAGCAGTGTTGCAAACTCAAGGGATCTCACTTGTGAACAATAGAAGTGTGTCTCAAAGTTTCCAAGATACTTACTAGCTCTTTTTCTAAGTTCTTCATCAATAAATCCATTGAAGTGCAACATGGTTACTTGAGCAAATGAGAAGTTAATAACAGTTCCACTGTGTTCCAAAGAAAATGTTTCCCTCTTGTCCCCTTCGCCCCTGCTGGGGCCCCCCCCCCCCCCAAGAATTAGTAGTTAATAGCTGATTTGTTTCTCACTCCTTCTGTTCAGTTTGGGTAACATCTCATACCCTATACTTCGTTAGCCTACAGTAGATATGTGTGGGTAAATGGACAGTTGAACTGCTCTTTGGATAGAATTGAAAAAATCTTCTGTCTTCCCTATTAGCAGTGAAGGCAAACATTTCCTTTGTCTATATTATCACAAGTTGTTAAGTGGAAGAAAAATCTTTGATGCACAAGTTAAACATTACTGTTGCCTATTGATGCTTGTCCTTTCTGATGCATATTATAGTGTCATAGAATCATTAAGGTTGGAAAAGACCTCTGAAATCATCTAGTCCAACCATCCATGCCCACTAAACTGTATCACTCAATGCTGCATCTACTCTTTCCTTGAACACCTCCAGGGACGGTGACTCCACCACCTCCTTGGGCAGCCTATTCCAATACATCACCACTCTTTTTGAGAAGAATTTTTTTTCTAATATTCAACCTGAACCTGCCCTGGTGCAACTTAAAGTCATTACCTCTGTAGTAATGTGTACCTCTCTAGTAACCAGGTACTTAGGAGAAGTGCCCAACCTCTACCTCACTACAGTCATCTTTCAGGGAGTTGTAAAGAGTGAGTCTCCTGAGTCTCCTCTTTCCCAGATTAAACAATTTCAGCCCTCAGCCACTCCTCGTAAGACTTGTGTTCCAGACCCTTTGTTAACTTCATTGCCCTTCTTTGGATATGCTCCAGACCTCAATGTCTTTCTTGTAGTGAGGGGCCAAAAACTAAACATAGTTCTGAAGATACGGCTTCACAAATGCTGAGTACAGGGGGCCAATTACCTCCCTGCTCCTGCTGGCTGCATTGTTTCTAGTAGAAGCCAGGATGCCGTTGACCTTCTTGGCCACCTGGGCACACTGCTGGCTCACGTTAGACGACTGTGGATTAAAACAACAAAGAAACAGTCTTTGATTTGCAATTGCACTTATGGTTAGACCAAAGCCTAAAATAATGCCCAAATGCACTATCTACTTTGGAAATAAAGCTGCAGACTGCAATGTTAAAAAATGAGGCTATTAATGTCAGTTTTTACTTTACATGTTGTAGTTGCACAACCCCAACTGATGATGAGATACTTTCCATTTCCTTTCATCCTTTGCATTTCCTACTTCGTAATTTCTGAAGTTTTGTGTTAGTTCAAGGAATAATAAACGATTAGGTAATGTGTTTGCTTAGAATAACTGGAAAATGTCGACACGTTTCAGAGTTCAATTCTTAGATGCACTGGTTGTATTAGTCTCAGTTATTTTGTCCTTTGCTCTTCATATTTCAAAGGAAACTTTAACCAAATGACCCTCTATAATTGCATCAATATTCTCCTGAGTCATCAGGGGGTATAGGATCAAGCAAAGAGCATATACTGGACTGAAAGAGTACTTTGATTCTTATGCTGATGCAAAAGCTTTGATATAAGGACTTTGGAGGAATTCAGTCTTGGCACTTAGGAAGCATACTAATTGAAGAAGATTTAGGATTAAGAACTGGCTGTGCATATGCCTATGAGAAAACATTCCTCTCATTCCTAATAACTCTGGTTTTCCTAATTCATGACCCAAGTATTAGTAAGTTAATGGTTAAGATACATTTGGCTGTATTCTTCTTTGCACAAAAGCATAGCGTACGATTCGGATGACTTAAAGCAGCGCACTCACTTTTAGGCACCTTTGCCATTGAAGCACTTTGAGAGATCACAGGGATGTCACTGTAAAAGACGTGTGCTCTCTCATCTTCAGTACTACAGTTCCTTATTTCTAGTCCTATCTCCTGAGTCCTCACTCCTGACATAAAACCCATGGAAACTTTATACAGCACCTGGAGAGAGAGGAGCATTTCAGAACTAGCTGTGAAAGGCTAGCATGTTGAGCAAGACAGCTCAAGTAGCTCAGTGTGAAGCCTTGTTGAACTTGCCAAAAGGGACGCTCAGTGTCCTAAATAGATGTGACCTAAATTTTAGACTTTTGCAAGATTTAGATGCATATGGCAGAGGCCTCCCTCTGCTCAGGATTTGAAAATATTAACTTCTTATAAGCACATATGTTACGGCCTTTCTTTTGCCTTTTCTTTCTTTTTCTTCTTTTATTTATTGTTTTAATATGCATTTTATTTTGAAGTTTTGTTTTGAAACAAAGCCAATGCCCTACTGTGTTTTTGGTCCTGTTTTGAATTCTGGAGCATTCTCAAGAAGTGTCTTCTTGTCTTTTATTTCTCCTTTTTCACGAGAGAATTGGCCTCACCTCCAAGAAGGATGCTTGAGGCTAAAGAAACATTCTCTAGGCCTCTTGCAGGTGTTGCATCTGTTTTCTTGGGAGCCTGCTTCCTCATACTGATCTAGTGTAGGTGAGAGTAAAGGCTTATAATGCTCAAAGTTCTCTTTCTTAAACAGCCCTGTAATGCTGCAAGGTCCTCATTGCAAAAAGAACCTTTTGAAATACTTTTATGAATATACTGCAGTTTGTATAATTGTTAACAGAAGTAAAGTGGTCCAGGTAAAACATTAGTCATGGATAGGGTTTTCAGTGATATTCGCAGCAAGAAGAATGTAAAATGTGATTTATGATATTTTTAATCTATTTTTGTACATCATATAATGACATATAAAATAGCCATGGTAGCAGGCAGCACTATGCTTCAAAGGCAGCTGAGTTCCAAGATGAAAAATATTTTTGGGTGGGTTTGCTCCCCTGATTTTAGTAGGGATGGGTTTGTGGGCAGCACACAAAATTTTGAGTCTGGGATAAAATTCTGAGAATGCCAAATTGTCACTTTAACCTGTCATGCTGAAATCTGTTTCCCGTATAAACCAGCCTGTCTTTTCTCTGTGAACCAACACACAGCAAAGCAGTGGGGAAATAAGCATTAAGCAGGAAAGCACACCACAGTGTATAGACTAAAGCTAGTGGGATGTGTGGATGAATTCTCCTACATTGTACAGTCTGACTAGGCATGTACAAATAGTGCATATTAGACTGAGAGAAGATGAGCTGTAATTCAGTTTTCAGTGCTGACAGGCAAGTCAAACTAACATTTCATTTCTAAAGACTATGGAAAAAATATTTTTCTGGTTTCTGAGTACTGAATTGATTTGATTTGATTGTGCTAAGATAAAAAAAAAAAAAAAAAAAAAAAAAAGCCCAATTTCTACTGTAAATCAAGCCAAAGAGCTTAGTTCTGATTTCAATGGTAATAACATAACTGTTTTTGGCTGTGCCTGTACTGTTGCATGCAGCCTCAGGATGAGGTCAGGACTACTGCTACAAACCCACACTGCTTGACTATAGGAGCATCTCCTGAAAGCAGCCCTATGCAGCCCTGCATTTTGGGAGAAGGAAAACCAGGTGATACAGTAGAGATACTGCATTACTCAGTATTAAAGAGGAAAGCCAAAATTTTTAATTTCCTTGAATGCCTTACAAATAATGGTAGCTTATTTCTCAGCTAACTTTCCCTGCTTTGTAAGGACTTTCCAGGCCTTTTTGGGTTGAAGCTGTTAACATTTTCTTCCTATCTCCTTACTTTTTAGCTCCTTTAAACAGAAACTTGGGCAAATAGCTGCCAATATGTCAATATTATATTCACTGCATCTGCCATCAGGTTCCAGGGAACCCCCTCAGGGCCAGCTCTGTCAAGCTTCTGCTGGCGATAATCAAATCTTGCCATGAAATTCAGCTTCTGTTGTTTCATCAGTTAGTAAACCAAGGACAGGGTGTGAGTGTGTAATGCAATGAGCCTGAATTATGGCAGATTAATAAGCTTCTGCTTGTCAGTTAAGTTGCCGTGGTGTTCAGAGTGTTCCTTGGTACCACTGGAGCTTTGAACCATATTGATTTAACGACAGCATTATTGTCCAGACACGATCCCAGCTCATGTAAAAGTCAGCTATATGGGGCACACATAATAGGTGAGCTTCAGGTACATCAGGTTCACAGTTTGCATAGTTTCTTCATGTGTGTTTCCACTTGCAAATTTCCAGTCAAAAGCTAACCTTCCTGAAAACACACCCCTATTTATTTATTTACATTCTTTCCTACCCAGTTATTTATTTTATATGCAAAACGTATCTGACTGTGCCAGTGATTTTACTGATATGACCTAGGAGATACTGGTTGTTAGAATTATTTTTTTAACTAATTTTTGTTAATGGCATGACATTCCCTTTTTCCATTGTGGTACCACATTTCTTGGCTTGTGTGTAGGAGTATGAAGTATAGTAATAATTGCATTTTCCATTCATTGGGTTTTTGATCACCTGCATTGTAGTGCTGATTGTCCTAAATAAGCTCATTTCCTTCTTTTGGTCTCACCTTCCTAGTAGATAATGTCCATTGTAGTTGGTGAATGAATAACTAGATGATAATTTCAGACCTTTTTCTTTATTCTTGTACCTTACATGTAAAGAGCAAAAGATTATAAACCTTAACAAAATAGGATGGCAAAATTGAGTACATCAGAAAGGTTTTATGCTAGTATGACTGTTATGTATTTCTGTGTGTTTTTCATTCTACGTTTCTGTACTTAACTAAATTAAAAGCTGCCTGGGATCATGTTTTTGTTTTTGCTGTATATGCATGCCACATGAATTTAAAACCCTTCCTTTCTTTTTTCTTTCTTTCTTTTTTAGGGGGTGGGATGTTCTGCATTTTTATTGCATTTTCCCCATTCCTATTCATTCCTTATCTTAGGATTTCTCATCCTCTGAAGCACGAGAGTAGCTACCAGGAGCTCACCAACTGCTACTACATGGGACTGCCTGCAGCGGGCACGAGGCTTAGACATTATGGGGACAATTCAGGTACTGCTTAAGGGCAAAAGCCTTTCTTTCTGACAGAGATAGTTGCCTTGGAATACAGTGTGAGCTTCAGGCCGTGGCATGATGGTGGAGTGCAATACTGCCTCTAGGGTAGTGAGACCTAGAAGTCGTTGCTCCTGGGTAGTGCTTGTCCTGGGGAGTGATATGTACTCACTCCCCTTGTAGTGGCATTCCCAAACCTCCCCAAAACCTCCTTCCTCAGCCCTCTGCCATGGAGGAACTCAGCAAGCACTCTGTTTAAACATCCCAAATTAAATTTATCGTAACTATCCAAGAGCAGAGTGACAGGGCTTCTGGTGGGGCCGTAAGCCTTGGCGACCACTGGGCAGCCACGGTGGCAACTTACCCCCAACCCCACGATTTGCTTCTGAGCCAATGCCTCCCGGAGGTTCTTCCAGCACAGGTCCAGCTTTGCAGAAGCGACAGACTGTGGCCCAAGCAGGCTTTGTGTGTGGCTGATTGTGTGCCTTGACTGCCGGCAGCCGGCCCTGTGCATTACAGTATTTTCCAGAAAGCTCCTTGGCTGCTTCAGTGCAATGAAGTTTTTATGGCTAACACTTCAGTATGGCAACAAGCTAACAAACAGAACAATTCTGTTAAAATTGGAGGCAATTAACATTCATGGAAAGAAATGCATTGAAGTTGTCAGCTTTCAGGCGAAGAATATTACAGCAATGCCCTCTAGTGTTGCTTTCGTTAAAGTGTGAATGAATGCTCCCCGGGAAAGATCCCGCCGTGCAGAAGGCTGCATCCTTCTTCTCTGCTTGCAAGACTAAGCCCTTGACAGAGAATGCACAAGGCAGAGATCAAATTCATGGTACTTGACCTTTACCAAGCTGGATATTCTTTGCCTGAAAAAAATAGAAGTATGAGCTGATGTATGTGTTACTTATCTGTACTACATTTTCTTTAAAGTTGAGTGAATAATTTTATGAAATACTAATAATTTTCTAGTGCAAGATTATGTATTTTTTTCCTTGAGCTCACAGCTTAAGAAATAACAAGCAGCTTTAAGCCTTAAGTCCATTTTAAATGGTCATGTGCTGCTGGGATTTGATTTAGCTTTATTACATTGCATGAATCAATATGTTCCTGTACTTCTGAAAATGCTCGAACTAAGTGTAGGCTTTTTTTATTTGTTAATACTTAATTAAGCAACAGCGCTGCAAGTAGAAGAGCAAGACCTGAAATTGAATTTTGGGTCATGACATCTGATGGAGTGAGTTATAAACTATATAAACTATAAATAACATCAGGTATTGCACAGTATACACACAGCAGATTTTATACAGCTGTACAGGTTCCATTTTCTCTGCGTGGTCATCTTTTGTTGGTTAACATTTCCACATCTCCATGTACTATAAAAGCACATCTAAAAATACGGACGAAGGCTTCATCCCCAAACTCTGATCACAGAACAGTTGTTATGCGACATTTACAAAGCCTGCTTAAGCCGTCTGTTTTCTGGGCTTCGACTTCATTTTCTAATTAAACATTGTGAAAATACAACAGTGAGAAATGAATAACAAAAGTGAAGAGGTGATGGATACAGCCCAAAATGCAGTTTAAGCTATTTACTTCTTATACATTAAGAACGTATTTCAACACCAGAAGCGTTTCTGGAGGAATTAAGGTGGCAATGCAGGAATTCCATAGAAAGAAACCTGAGTATGCAAAAGGAAGTAGATCCAAACCCATCTATTTTGATTTCATGTTTTAGACTGTTTGCAGCTTATTATTTCATTTACAGTATGCATTTGATAACTTTAACATACTGAAGGGTATTAGTTCTAACAGGTCTTGATCAGTTTTGCAAGTAAATTGTTGATACTATGAACAGGCTCCTTGAAATGAAAATATGTGTCCCTATAAGGAGGTAGTTATATGCCATATGTAAAGTTACCCACTAAGAAATACATTGAATCACAAATATAAAATACAAAGATCACGACCTTTTCCAAATCTAGCAGTTTAAAAATACTTGTTTGACTATAAGGTAGTTATAATTTTGAAAGCAATCTTCTTTGTTCCACTGCCTTCTTTTTTCATATTTCTTTTATAGCCATTCTTGCTGACCTAACTGAAAATCTTAATATCTTCAAAGTTGTTTTTTTTTTAAGATGCTCTCCTACTTAACTAACAAATGTAATGGGTTCTCGAGAATAGACAAGCTACAATATATGATGATCTCTAAAATCATGCTTTCAGTGTACAGTCTCCCCCTAAATATAGTCTTTGCTAGGCTTTTCTAACAGAAAAGCAAGGACAATTGTTTCCATCTGAATTCTATTTGATGTTTTTTCGTGGTGGAAGGACATGGAGGAGGAAAGGTATGAATTTCTATAGGAATAATTCCAGCCTTGGAATTATCAAAAAATAGTGATGAAAAACAAGACAGTGGTATAACACTGTGCTTCTGTAAAAGCACCAGCTAAAACTGGGGACAGGAAAAATGTATTATATTTGCTTTTTTGCAATTATAGTACTGAACCTTAATCTTGAAAGCAAATGAATTTATTTTGTAAGAGTAATTTTTTTTTCTTTTTTCCTCAGTGGAAGTGTATGCAAATAAAAGATTTAATGGACTCCCTATTTAAATATATGAATTAAAAGTGTGTGCAAACTGCTGTTTGCACATCAATAATTGCCTTGTGCCCAACTGCCAGCCAGGCTAAACAGCTTAACAAACATTGAAAAGGGGCTTAGTTGCTTTGTTCACCTCTGCTCTTACTCCTTGACTACAGCATGTAGTTTTTGCTTTAAAATGTATTTTTGCTTCGGGGTAACTAATTGACACCAGCCAACCTGAGATGAAGTCACTGTAGGAAAACCCTGGGGGGTTTTGTCAAAGGGTAGAACATCATGAGGACTGGTTGATGTCTGTGCCTGTGGCTGACCTGGCCCAGATTACCTTACAGTGCAGCTGAAGAGCTTTTTCTTCAGTGTAGCTTTATATGGTTCATTTAATAGTTACGTTCCAAAGTCAAATTATGCCTTTTCTGACTGAGGAAAGAAACGTTTACAGAAACTTTTCTATAAGAGCTGATGACACCATTGCCATTGAAAGTGGAGCATTAATATGTGCCTCCTTTTGGTTAGGCTGTTGAACTGTAAGATTTTAAATTTCAGCAGAAGTAACTGATTTCCAGGACGATGGATGTGGGTGTTATTTATCCCCGAGGTTGACAGAAAGCACTTTTCCCCTCAGGTGTGCATACTGCAAATTTCAATTACAGATTTGTTTATTTACTTCTGTTGTGTTTCAAATCTGGTCACACAAATGAACCACAAAGCCAAATTACAAAGAAAACCGAGCCCATTATTCACCAGTTCCTTTTAAAAATGAAAATGAATAGTAAAGAAACAAGGGTACAACTCATACAGCACTGAAAAATAGCAAGCAGTCGTTTCGCTTTAATCCAAGATAGCTAGTTATCAGATTTTATAGAAAAACACACAAGAGAGTAAAAGGGGGGAAGAAAGATATGGAAAAAGCTCCCGAATAACCATCAGTTATGTGGTCAAACAGACTGGAATGCTTCAGGCTAGGAAAGAGGCACCTGAAAAAGGTCTGAAAGTTTCACTCGTGAGAAAAGTGGGCATCAGCTACAACTTACAGGTGGTAGGTTCACAGCGTGTGAAAGCAGAAGGATCTGCATATAGCATGTTCCTGAAACTCCTTGTGTTGGAACCTTTCGGGTACCAACATTTTCAGATCTTTCAAATCAAATTGATTCAGCGGAAGGTCATATTTGAAGGGCTATTAAACACAATGGGATCAATTCAGGTGTGTTCACCTGTGTCTTTGTGTCTTTTGAAATACTTGAGGGTGTCCATGACATCTTGCAGGGCTAGTACTGGGTCTGTGGCTTCTACAGAGGGAGCTGGAGGTCCAATGTGCTATCGTTTGGGCACCACATACAGCTTTCAGTGCTTGTGAGGTACTACCCAAAAGGTCCTGTAATGCTACCTCTGGCTGAGCCTGTGGTTGCTGGAGGTGAGGGAAGTGTCACTGATTTATTGTGCAGATCTCATTGTCTTTTGGCCATGGCCTCATTAGGCAGTAGGAAGGGTGACTCCAGTCTTCTGAGTAGACTTGTCATGTGGTGATAAACACAATGTCAATGACTTCCTGTAGCAGTACAGCATTGCTGGCTCTGGTGCATTGCATTGCTGGCTCTGGGTGCGGTGCAGAGCTGCTTTGGGCTGGTAAACCAGTGACACCTTGTGTCCAGGCAACACAGACAACCTCGTGGCAAAAGGAGAGCCATGTGCCCAGATTTGAGTGGCTCTGATGAGATTTGGCAGGTCAGCTTAACTGACATGTTGTTCTTTGTAAAGTGATGTGACTGTTTTGCTGGCAAATAGATAGCAAGTAAAGAAGGACAATTTAGCCTTAAAATGAAGCAAGTGCTGTTTTGTGACACGTACAGAAGAAAAGCTATTGAGTTTTGTGTCTGAGTAGTGAAATAAGGAATAACACAGAAGCCATAGATTTTTATTTCCCAAATATCTGTTGGGTTGTCAAGAGATATGAAATCTCTGAAATTTTTCTTTAGGATTAGCTAGTTTTGTTGATTTGGATCAGATTTTTCTATTTTTCATAACAATTTCAGTGTAGAAGAGCAGATCGATTTTTCTGCAACATATCAAACAATCAAACAGAAGTCTTGAGTGCATTTTCTGTTAGTGCAGACATTAGTGTAGTTGAGCCATTTGGTCACTCCATCTTTCACTAAGTCACAGCATATTACAACGTGAATTTGGAAGGGAGCACTGCATCCATCTAGACCAATCCCTTCTCGAGGAGGGACACCCAGAGCAGGGTGCCACGACCTTCAGAGGGAACTTTCTGTGTTTCTCAGTTTGTATCTATGCCTCTTGTCCTGACATTGGGCACTACTGAAATGAGCATGGCTCTATCCTCTTTGCAGTCTCCCCTCAGCTATTTGTAGACATTGAGGAGTTTCCTCCCGATCCTC